CTAAATTAATTGTAAGATACATACTAGGTATGCTGTAAATTCGTTTGTTTTATTGGGCTTATATATATGTAAGAAAGATCAATTCCCCATCAAAGGTGATTACAAAAGAGTCTTTCGCATTCACAAAACATCTGCAATGGCGGTATTCGGTCTCAAAAGGTTATTTATTCCCTTTACATGATTTAACAAGTATATCTTCCTTTGCATTATTCCAATTTCTATTTTTTTTTTGTAAGAATATAAATTATCTTGTTTTCTTGTTGATAACTTTGAACCTGGCGAAGTCATTTGTTCCTCGATTTCACAATACTGCAAGAGATCCTCAAAAACGTGACCCCGTGAAGGGTCCTCGATTTCGCGACCCCGTGAGAGATCCACAAGAACGTGATCCTGTGCTGCCTTTAGTAGTGGGGATCCTAAGGCACCTCATTCTGACTTACATCCAATAGTGAGCGATCCTGAAGAACGCGATCCTGTGAAGGTACAAAACCAAATGACTAACGGTAATTATATCAGTTTGTTGTTCAGTAACTATTTTCACTTAACTTTGAAAAATTTGCCACAGTGTTTCCTATTTGTCCGATTTTTTTCGTGTTTGATAGCAACATCCAAGTGTTAGAGCGAGAAGTTTTTTTTACTGTCGATCGTGAAACTAATGCGCCATTTCTGCCATCACAGAAAAATGGCAACAACATCAGTGCTGATCCTCATTTGAAGTAAAATCACCGTAACCGAAGATGATGAGAACATTTTGCCTTTAATTGGCAAGATGGCGAAAAGTAACAACTATATATACGGCCGAGTTCTAACTTATCCCGTTTTCGACATAATTAGTTATATTATATTTTTCCCACAATCGGAGGTTGATGCAATACTCGCTCTATACTAACGAGCCTTAATTTAATTAATATTCATTACATAATTCATGTGGGTACACTGAGCGGATAAGTCAAGTTTGTTCATTTGATCATATATTAAAAACTTGAATTGGAAAATGACAGTGAAATGAACTTCCGTTTAGTGCAATATGCAAGAATGCATGAGTAACCTTTGAATTAATTTCCTTATTTTCACAAGAAAGCTACTGCAGAATAAACTTGTAGTTGTAGGCTAATAGCTTTGTGCTATCACTTCGCTATTATTGTAATCTTACTTTTCAGCCCGGTTTGTGATTGGTTTTTAGAAGATAAGAGTTAAGTTTTTTTCCTAAGTTTTTAGGTTAAAACAACACAGGTATCTTTCCCACAGAAAAAGCTGCTTGTTATCAAAAGTATAAAGGATAAACTGATCTCATCTAAGACTCACAGTTGTTTAAACCTAGCTCCTTTGAATTTTTATCTCATAACAATTTCATTAAAAGAAAATATTTTCTGCATATTTATCTGTCTTTATACTATGATACAGATAAATCCCGGCTGAGCCGCAGCCCCTTAAAGAAAGCATTAAGGCTAAAACCATTTTAACATAATATTTTTTTTCTTTCAGGAAAACGCGGATATGGAAAGTGAATAATTTCCCGTTTGGGCGTGAGAATGGAAAATATTGAACCACTTTGTAACTCTCAGTAATTTTGCGCTTTTAGAGCTGATGTTATGTTATCACATGTAGGGAGCAATAATCGTAATCGTAGAATAGAAATAAAGGTGTTCAAAATGCAGATTTACTGTTTGCAAATAAGTACGTGTTGCCTGAACTGGTTTGGACTCGGATGGGTCGAGAGGAAAGAAGACTGGGAATAAAGTAGAAAACTGGGACCTAGGCGTAAATTCTTGAATATCATGTCGAGTCAACTTTATGTAAGAAGGCACTCTTTGGCAAGTCAAACAATGTTTTTTGTTTGTTTGTGTCATCGTTGTAGGGATTTTTAAACGGCACAGGGATGAGCTCGCTTGGCAAAGTTAAGTTGTTGGAGCTTGAAAAAATCATTGCAAACAAGATCATGAACGTAAAATTTTCTTCTGAGTAATGACATGTGATCGAGAAAAGACCGGTAATAGATACAGTTGACGAAGATTACAAGATGTAGATCTGAACACGCGATGCTTCCCGTACTAATTAACTCGTTCAAAATCGCGATATTCCGGATAGGACCGCGTAGCGTACAAATACTCAATTTTGATTGATGAAACTATTCCAGCGATCTTTTGTACGGAATTCTGTACTCAGAAACAAACATTAAAAATTTGCTTGGGAACTCACAACCCAGTTTTACTGACCTCTGTCAAGTCAACGACTATTTTTGAATCAGTGCTCATGGATTTAATTTGGGTGGCCACATAGAAAGACGTTTGCCTATGTTGCTTACTTAAAGTTTCCACCAATTTTATAATGTTTCTGCTCGATAATGTTCATGGTGTAATTCAATTTTTAAATCGTTCACCACATAGAGGAATTATGATGCCATCGTTTAGAACATTTGGAGAAATCAAGGAATTAATATTTGTGTAAATAGCCGTTACGAGGAGCATGTCTGTCTCCGAACGGCGCGTTATTGTGTTCCCTTTATGTAAGAATTTGTGCGCTGTACTGAATAAATACTATGGATATGATTGATTACCTCCGTTCTTTGTTCCGTTGTGCTTTAAAAAAACGTATCGTAACAGATAGTCGCAATACGGGTCAAAATGAACAATTCACGGTTTTAGTGAGACCCCTCTCCCTCTCCAATGACCACTTCCAAAAGGTTTTACAGCCCTCGCTGAGATCGCCTTGGCTGTTTTAGGAGGAAAATAATTTGTTATATTCAGTGATGTTTTCAAAGTAAAGAGTTTGTTTTGATATTGTGATCTACGGTGCCTAGCGAGCTGTTATGGTTGTTGAACAATTACAACGGAATTAAGTTGAAAGTTCTCGTAAAATGCTAATTAATTGTGAAATTTTAATTGTGCTTGGCCGTGTGTTGTTCTTTGCAGAAAAACCATTCCAACACGCATTCCAAAAGCAACTGAATTTGGTTGACAATTTCCAGTTTATATTAGAAAATAAATACTCCCGCAAGATTTTTTCATTCGAAATAGTAAATAGCTTTTACGTCGTTATCTTGAAATGAACCGTGCTGGTTGATTAGGGAAAACTCGGGAGGTGGGGGGGCATTTCCTAGTGATGGGTTACTGGGGATGTGCCGCTGGATGGGGTCGTATTTCACGACTATAGTGACTACAAAAGGGGTCGCCTTTTCAGGCATTTACAAAAGAGTAAGTACAATGGGGTCGTACAATTTCGGGACTGTGAAGGGTGTGTTATTGTTACGCTGTTGTTCCTTTTATGTAAGAATTTGGCGCTGTACTGAATAAATTTTATGGATTAATCTCCTTTTCTTTCTTCTACTCTGCTTTTGAACAGATTTTCTCGTTTTGGTGGGGACTATATGTGTTAAAATGAACAATGTTTCAGCTAGACCCCTCTCCCCTCCAATGTGGTATTAAAGTATTCGCTGAGATCGACTTCGCTGACAGTGAAAGACGTTTTTAAAAGTACTTTAATTTATTTAAGGTGGAAAAATAATATATCAATTTGGAGTTGTTATCAAATAAAGGGGTTGCTGCCGTAATGGTTGTTGAACAATAATAAAAGAAATCAATTCAAGTGTTTGCGGAAAGTTATCCTGAAATGCTAATGAATTAATGTTGTGAAATTTTAATTTTTAAATTTGGCTTGGTCGTGTACTGTTCTTTCTTGATAAACCACTTCAACGTCAACTCCATTTGCCTGGTTTCCGTTATTTAATAGTAGATAAGTACTCTTCCAAATATTTTTTCAGTCAAAATAGTAGATAGGCTTTAGGACGTGATCTTGCGATAAACCGGGTTGTTTGGTTAATTTAATCGAGTTCCTGATTAGGAAAAATCTATTCGCTTGGGTAGGCTGAAACGAACTGTGGAATATTGGTTTGCTGTTTCAGCTAATAATGATTAAACCTGCAAGAGTTAGGAACGATCTCAGCCCAATCACTCGACGACAATTCAAAAGATCAGACTTTAATGTTGGTTGTAAACGTTGATTGATCGATTAGCCAAATAAAGCAAAAACGCTTTCCCCTACTTGCGGAGTCAAACTTAACCCAAAAACTGAGGACGGTACATACTAGTGGTTTTCCATATCCTAAAAATAATAATTACCTGTTTTAACATAATGTCCGAAGTCAGCCAGGCAGTAACAAGAATACCGCAAACATTAGAGCCCAGACGTCCATTAAATGACGGTACGCATGACAGACTAAGGCTCCAGTCGACCCTGAATTCATAGTACGTAAACACGGCGATAATTTGCTTTTCGGTGAAACTTCTGTCGCTTTTGCCGGGCTGTAATGGAACGTCATAGCAAAGTGTCTGCACTGCGAAAGTTGACTGTAGGGAAAATCACAAAAACTGAAGCATAAGCAAAAGAATTTTAGCGAGGAAAAGAAAAACCCTTCTTTATAAAATTTCATTCTCAATCTTCTCCATTGGTTTACCGCAAAACAATGGAACGTTTTCCGTTTCCTGAGGTTACTTGTGTCCGTTTCCTGAGGTGGTCTGTATCCGTTTCCTTTTGCATCTTGCTCCAATGTGTTAACCGCAGCATAAATAACTATGCTAATGACGACATTGGATGTTATTTAAACAGACCATGTTAGGGCCAGATCAATACGCCACGGTAATCCCAAGAGAGGCTTCGAGAGTGTCCACAAGTTCAACTGACAAGAAATTCTGTCTGTTGATTTTGTCTTAAAAGGTAATTCATTAGTTAACAAGTAGATTTTTCTGTATTTTTTCCCAATTTCTCTTTCAGGGTGTTCGGATTTTCAACTTATTTACTTCAAGGTATTTTTTCTCGGTAGACAAGTAGTGTGGTGCTACAAATCGACTAAGATTGTGTTCGCAAATTTACGATAGCCACACAAAAGCACAGAAAATGCAACTAACACTGACTTAAAAGATATATTCAGATTGACAATATACTAACTTAAAGCTTCTGTTATGTATTTCTAAAGGAAAATGAAGTGCCTTTTTGTCCTCTTGATGACTTTGGGCCTGGCGATGTCGTTTCCTCGAATGCGGCGTGATGCTGCGATGGATCCTGAAGAAGATGATACTATGGAGCTAGAAAAAACAATGCCTCAAGGTAAGGCTAGCAGTTTATTAAAAGTGGCTGGTTTCATTGTACTTTCAAATTGACATTGTGTTTGCTTCTTTTGCGCTAAACAACTCCCATTTTTTAATCTATTACATTTCGACTGGTTTTGGGGCGCTTAAGTTCTGCGGCTGGGGTGGAATATGTCTGATTTGTTGCTGTGCCGGGAAGAGAAACTGAGAGATCACACATGATGCTAACTTCGTCTGGCCAATTGCTAAGGCACAAAACGTTAGCTTTTCAACTTTTGTAAGGCGTCCACGTGTGCAACTTCAAGTTAATAACCACTTACTTGTTTAACTTTGCTCACCGACGTCGCACAGTAGGCTCTTTTGAAAATCAGTAGCGATTTTTTAAATCCCGCTCTAAGCCTGAAAAATTTTTTCAAGTCTTAGTTCCAGTAGCGTTATTGAAGGCTGCAATTGCATTTATTACTGTCTTATCTAACTTCTTTCTTTGTTTGACAGAAACAGAACTGAACGACCCAAGCCCACAGTTTAATTTTGGCGGCAACTCTGGCACAATTGGCCAACAGGGGCAAAACTATGGGACGGCTATCGGCCAGCAACACAATAACCGGTATGGGCGACGTCAGTTTAATTTTGGAGGCAACTCTGGCACAATTGGCCAACAGGGGCAAAACTATGGGACGGCTATCGGCCAGCAACACAATAACCGGTATGGGCGACGTCAGTTTAATTTTGGAGGCAACTCTGGCACAATTGGCCAACAGGGGCAAAACTATGGGACGGCTATCGGCCAGCAACACAATAACCGGTATGGGCGACGTCACTTTAATTTTGGAGGCAACTCTGGCACAATTGGCCAACAGGGGCAGAACATGGGGACGGCTATCGGTCAGCAACACAACGGTGGGTTATTTTTTGTACAAAACGATCTTATCTCGTCTCATTCTATTTTACCTTATCTTGTCTTGTGTATTAGCTCATCTCAGAAACATGACAATCATGGACGAATCACCCATAATTGTTTTTGTAGATACATGTACTGTAAAGAATCCTGTGAACACCATTAATGCTCTGTCTTTTAAAGTAAAAACGAGCAACGTGAAACCTGATTCGCGAATTTCCAATAGAACACTCTGCATCCAGCAAACAGTATTTAAAAAGAATGTCATTATACTAACCAAATTGTTAATTATTATTTTTTATTAATTATTATTTTTCAGGTGGATATTACGGAAAGTGAATTGTCCCGTCAGTTAACTTGAAAATGGAAACAAAACCGCTGTTAAAGTTGGAACACTTAATAGCTCAGTAATTTTGCGCTTTAGGAGCTGATGTTATTTCAGCACATGTAGGGGGCAATAAAAGTAGAAAGCAATAAAAGTGTTTAAAATGCAGTTTTACTGTTTGCTGATAAGTTTTGCTTCCAGTGGCCTTTAATGTGTCTTTGGTCACTTTCTGGAGGGATAGGACAACATAAAATGTTTTGGGAAACGGGGTATTACGTGACTTCTTAGAAAATTAACTCTGGCATCCAGCTGAGGGCTGATTGTAGCCTTTGAATGCTGCCTGTGAGTGTAACCTTTCTTAATCTAAAAGAAAAGCCTCTGGTTTATGATATTATCTATCCTCTTTCCGCCCTCAAAGCTTTCTGGTTAATGCTGCGACTGTGTCTGGTGAAACAAACAGGAGTACTATTAACTGCAGATACGCACAAGAAAATATTTGAGATTTCTTCATTAGAATTCTTGATTCTCCACAGAATTTTGTTCTAAGCTCAGTCAGTTTTTAACGGCACTTCTCACAACTATGTACAATTTTAACCTCAAGGCAAGTTTAATTACCCAGGCAGTAAAACGGCAGGACTTGTGACGTATGACAACTATGAAACTCATCACGTTTTCTTGGTCAAAAAAATTCACATTTAAATCTATAAAAACCATCTAACGCAAAAAAAAAAACACGTTGTTTATTTTGGCGATTGAGAGTTGTTCTTGCACTCGACGCCATACTTTCCTCTTTGAAAAGGAGTTATAAACCTTTCCTCCTAAAATAAAACCACATTTGACGGCTGAAATCTCACTGTTTTCTTTTTTTTTTGGTATATACTAAAACAATTTTTCACCTCATTGTGAGTGAATAGTTGCAAGATTTACCTTTTCTAAAGCCTGCTTGCTATTTCCGTAACGAGCTATTGCATTTAATATCTGTGCACCCCCTGGTGAGAATTGGTCTTTTCGAGTCTTTCAATCTAACCCCTAAAAAAAACCTCTGGAAAACATCTTAGTCCCTAACGAAATCCATTAAAAACAACTTTACCCCTGAAGAAATCCAAAAAAAATTGGTTATCCCCTCGGGAATTCCGTTGGAAATAGGCTTACCCTTTGACGGCTAAAGAAAGAGGGGGGGTCTCATTCCCCTTAACAATTTATTTATTTCTGGCCTTGCCCCATAAGAAATCCGCCATTTCTTTTTGTCCCTTCCCTGACGAAATCCACTGTTCCTCAAAGAGGTGGGGGATTCAAATATTAAATGCAATAGACCAACTGTAGGTCAGGGTCTCAAAGAGGCTTAGGGCTCCAGGGCTCCAGGGCTCCAGGGCTCCAGGCTAAAAAAATGCAGGGCTCTAGGGCTCCAGATCGTTTACTTAAGGGCTTCAGGCTCCACTGTGGTATACAGTTTATACCGAGCTATGGGAAACGAAAGACAGGCCTTTAGATGAGAAAAACGCAATTTTCTCATCTAATGCATGAACTTTCCCTATAGTAAACATTAAAACCCCCTCAAGCCTGGTCAAACCTGGTCAAACCTGGTGGGTTATTTTTTCCTCCCTGATCCCTCATTATAATATAAAAAAAATAAAAAATGTCTGGTAATTTCATTTCTTCCTGGTAGAGAGTTACATTTTCCTTGTAAGGATGTTCTCATGTAGATATAATCCAAAAGAATCGTGAGTTCTGAATTTAACTAAAAACCCTTCGGTTCCAGCTACCTGGTTTCATTTCAAACTGCCTTCAAAACGCACAACATGCAATTTTGGACAACCTAATTTTTCAAATACACTCTTTTTTTATAAGAATATATTTTATAAAGATATTGAGGCTGTAATTTGCGAAATTTTAAGAATATTATAAGGATAAAGTCGAGGCTGAGATTTTGAAAAGAATATTATTTTGTGTTGAAAAGATTTTAATACAATACAACTTTCTTTCTCCAAAGGGAAACACAAGCCAATAAAACGATAACAACCAACTCTCCCCCATGTTAGGTGCTAATACAATTCCCGGAAAAACAATATTCTTATAAAAAAAAGAGTGTACATGCCCCTGAACCCCCCTAGTAGGTCAATCCATCAACCCTCGTCAGGTATCGCATATTGGCACTTTCAGTGCACCGCCATTCAAGTCATGTTAGTGAGCCTTCTAAATGCTAAGAACAGTAAATGTAAAACTAGCTTCTTCAATACTCAGTGAGAGAAAAATACTCAATTTCAAGACAAATGTTTAAATAACGTCGACCAGAAGTGAACAACTCATATAAGTTGCCGGCATGGCAGAGGAAAAAAGAAGGCAAGAGAAATCGGATCTCTTGATTCTTGTTTATTTTGATTAGGCTCCGGGCTCCAAACCAGATATTTCAGGGATTCAGGATTCCAGGTACCCCCCCCCCTCCCACTTTGAGACCCTGATAGGTCCACTGTCCACTGTGCACTGCAAAGATCACTTTGCTCAGCTAAAGACTAATTTATAATAGATAGTATAAAGGCGACCCCTCTCCTGTTGTTTCAGAAATGAAGGTCGCCTTTTCTCGGTAGTTTTACAATCACTGCACACTTGTTCATTGAACACGAAGCGATCGATACAAAGACACACACGTTTTAGCGCTCGAAATTAAAAGCTATATCATGTGATTACTCTTGTTCTTTGACCATCGTAGCTTAATAAGAAATAACACGCAAACTGCGGTGATAAACATAATGAGCAGACGCATTGCTGGAGAAAAAAAAACATTTTTCTAACTTGACGTTTTGTATGTTTCTACATACATCTTCAGAAGTAACCGTTGGAAATAGAAGTAACACCTAAATTTAAATCTAAGATAAGTAACTAATTAACAGTTGAAAAACAATAGATGAAAACATTTGCATATAAAAACATGCAAACTAGTAAAGATAAAGCTTTTCGCTGCTGACATTTTCATTTAGTGTGGGATTCAAATCCCTTATTAGTAGTCTAATGTCTAATGTTGTATATAAGGCTAGTTTTTGGGACTATCAGGATTTCTACATTGGAAAAACAAAACGTAGGTTGCATGACAGAAAAACCGAACATTTTAAGGGGGGAGACCCTTAACTACAAAATAACTCAAGATGGTTGCTATGGATGACTTCTAACCGTTATAAATTTTTCTCGAAAGTGTCAACTTAGAATGGCCTCGGACCCCGCGGGAATTTCAACAAAAAAAAAAGAATGGCCTTAAGTAAATGCTCGCAGCTTCCACTGTAGTTGCCAAAATCCAAAACATGTTTTCGGTAAGATAAAGGGTTAACAGCGCAGTTTAAGTACGAAAAAAGGTGAAGGCTGTTCCTCCAAACATAACACTGAAAACAGCGCTGGAAACAGCCCAATTTTACGGCAAACAAACCGAAACATGTTTTTCCTGCAATAAAGCTAAACACAGCTTATTTTAAACAGAGAAAGGCAGAAACGCTCTTAAGGCTCAAGGTAACCTAATTAAGTTGCCAACAAGCCAGAACATTTTTCGGGTAATATAAAGAGTCCAAAGTGTAGTTTGGTTACGGAAACAGAGAACAAGGTTGTCCTCAGAAAGACGATTCTGAGACAGCGTAACTCAGCCATAAGAAAGTAAAACTGTTGTTTGAGTAAAATCAAGTGAAAATCAAGGTGACTCGCTGCATACTGGAAGAAGACCTTTTTTTGGTGCAATAAGACTGAAAACAACCCAATATTACAGCAAACAAACCAAACATGATTTTTGTGCTATAAAGTTGAGTCCAACGTTTTATAGCAACGAAAAAGCAAAAACGCTTTTTTTTGTGATATAAAACTCAAAGCAGCGCGATTTTCTCGCCAACATACAAAAACGTATTTTCGCTACTATGAGAGTCGAAAAAGGGTATTCAGAAACGAAAAACGAAATCGCTGTTTGTTTGTAACAAAATGCTCGAAACATCCGATTTCATTGCCAACACGCCAAAACATGTTTTCGATAAGATAAAGGGTCAAAAGCACAGTTTACGTAGGAAGCCAAGGAAAAGCCTCTTCTCAGAAACATAATGCTGAAAACAACGTAACTTAGCCCAAAACAAACGAAAAGGTTCTTTTGAGCAAAATGAGATAAAAATCAGCATGACTCGCTGAAAACTGGCAGAAAACCTTTTCCCGGTGCAATAACGCTGGGAACAGCCCCATTTTACGGCAAACAAACCCAAACATGTTTTTCCTCTAATAAAACTAAACGCAGCGTATTTTAAACACAGAAAGGCAAAACGCTGGTTTTTGTGATATACGGCTCAAAGATAATCTAATTTAGTTGCCAACAAACCAAAACATTTTTCCAGTAATATGGAGCATCAAAAGTGTAGTTTGGTTACGAAAACAGAGGTAAAGGTTGTTCTCAGAAAGAGGATTCTAAAACGGCGTCACTTAGCCAGACACAAGTAAAAACGTTGTTTTGAGTAAAATGAAGTAAAAACCAGGGTGACTCGCTGCAAACTGGAAGAAAAACTTTTTCAGGTGCAATAACGCTGGCAACAACACAATTTTACGGCAAACAAACCAAAATATGCTTTTTA